ATTATGGAAACGTAAACATACCTTGTCGACGCAATGTCATCAATGATGGCGCAACGTAACGCATTCGGTGGCGTATAAAACGCATCAGAGTCGTCATCATGTATTGTCATTGGCGCAGCGCAACGTCCGCACTTCCTCTTCGGCGCAATGCGTCAATTTTAACGCAGCGGGTGTCTGTCGTGCTAAAGCGTGTTCATTGTAGGTGTCTGCGCAGGTATACTTCCTTCTTCGGCGCAATACGAATACATCAACGCAAAGGAATGTATGGAGTATCGTGTTCTGCGCAAATTCGTAATCCGTTCTTCGCAATACCCGCATTTCCTTTTCGGCACAATAAAGGCCGATTATTGCATTAATTTTAACGTAAAGGTGCCTGTTGCGTCAATATATTCACCGCTTATTGTTCTAACCTCCTCAAAGCGCAATTTCCGCATGCCCTCTTTGTCGCAATGCGTCATTTCATGGCAACGGACGACTGGCGTGTTAAAACATGCTCAGAATATGAGTTGACGTAGGTTTACTTGCTTCTTCGGCGCAATACGAACACATCAACGCAATGGAACGTAGGAATATCGTGTCCTGCGCAAATTCGTAATTCTTTTCAAAACATACCGTTCTTTGCAATTATGTTTTTCCTTTTCGACACAATAAAGACCGATGAGTATATAATTTTCACGTAAAGGTGCCTGTTGTGTCGCATAAATTCACCGCTTATTGTTCTAACCTCCTCAAGGTGCAATTTCCGCATGTCCTCTTTGTTGCAATGCGTCATTTTATGGCAACAGACGACTGGCGTGTTAAAGCATGTTCAGAATTTGAGTTCATGTTTCTTCGGCGCAATAGGAACACATCAACGCTATGGAACGTATGGGGTACTGTGTTCTGCGCAAATTCGTAATCCTTAAACCGTTCTTCGCAATACATTATTTCCTTTTTGGCACAATAAAGGCCGATGAGTATTGCATTAATTTTAACGTAAAGGTTCCTGTTGTGACACACAGATTCACGGTTTATTATTTTAACCGCCGCAAGGCGCAATTTTCGCATGTTCTCTTTGTCACATGCGTTATTTTATGGCAACGGACGACTGGAGTGTTAAAGCATGTTCAGGATATGGGTTTATGTAGGTATACTTCCTTCTTCGGCGCAATACGAACATATCGATGGCATATCGTGATGTGTGCAAATTCGTGATCCTTTTCAAACCACAATGCGTAAAATTCTTTGCATATCTATATTTCCTCTTCGACGCAATAAGGGCGTTAATTTTAACACAAATGTGTCGTGAGAATCTCGCATCGCATTCAGCGCTTATGATTCCAATGTGTTTGGAAACTTGTATCACCTCTACTATTTTCTTGGATCATTAACGTTTAATGAGTCTTAATAATAGTGGATTAACGTTGAGAACAGTGGTAAAAAAGTAAGTAACTTGAATCTGGACATCCTTCTTTAAATCCGTTCGTTGACAACGTGTCGAAAGGACAAAGGGCATAATTGATGTTACCCAAATCAATGTCATTTCAAAGCTCTTTTCAAGTAGAATGAGAAACACCATTGCGATTTTCCAATTTGCTGTCCGATCTGAACATTAACATTCTTATTTCTATATACGATCTGATCATATTTAAGTTTCGACATCTATTCAGATGTTGGTACAGATGCCTATATCCAGAGTTATAACTCTATTTTTTTATATTTTCCCGATATCGGGCTAAAAAATGGTCAAAAATCAAAACTGCACTTTTCACCTTAATAAATCATTTGCCGTTTGAAAGTTCTATCCAACAGCATATCACTTATTAATTTGGGCAGCGGACTGCCAATTCTGCTTAAGTTTATACTGCATATGCCCTGTAAAGGTAGAAGATTATTGCTCAAACAAAATTCTTGGTTAAGACATGACATAAGTGACCTATTTTCTTTGAAAGGATTTTTATGACAGCTGATACATCAGTTCAACCATGAAAATAAAACAAACAAATGTATTCGAGTGTTACTAATACCTATTTTAAAATATTTCAGTTCCTTAATCTTCATAATCATTAAATTGTCTGTATTTCGTAATTAGAACGATACGCAGAATATTTTGCCCAGGCTAATCCCTAATCACTTCCTTGATTTCGCCAGTTTTTTCATACTACATCTAACGCGAATTCTACACAGAAAATAAACTAAGGGTAGATTTCACCAACTCTCAAATCCACAAGCCATTATTTTCCACCAATACGGTAACAGTCCGTCAAATATAGCGAATGAGCCAACCAATAGCTGTGAAATGTTGAAAACAAAATATTGTCAAAGTATGAAAAGACAGCTTGAATAAAATTCATGTTTGTTATTTTGATAGTTTATTAATGTTTGTATTATTTTCTGCAATCGATATGCGATTTTGCAGATTTAAAATCACCTACACTAGTGTTTCAGCCTATAAACCTCTTGCAGATAGCTATTTAACATCTACCTGTTGACAAACACTTTCTACCAAAAATTTCATAGATATTGCTCGTTTACAAACATTCATTCATTTAATTGCTGTTCATCAGTACCATTATGGCACCTTAGATAGATATTCGTACAAAACCATTCAGGATTTTGGATATCCATACACCGATAAAGTTGAGCATTTTTCGTTGTTTAGCAGATTTGGGTTTGGAATAGATTTTTGTGCGTACAAAAGGTACAGATAAAATATTTAAAATGTGAGGTCAAGAAAGCAATCTAGATTTTAGACGTGTTCCAGATCAAATAAAAGTGAGATATAACAAGTTTTGCAAATATTTTCGGAAATAGGTATTTTTGATTCTGACAATATCTAGATGATGAATAATAGGTGAACGCGGTTACACTTACAAATATCGATGTTTTAGGTCCCAGGAATGCAGCATGTGCTGTTTGTTTACATTTAGTGTGCATTTCTAGATCATAAACTGGTAAATTGTTTTTGATTTAATAAAAGATGAACTAGTTCTAATCGTTTTATATCCATTTTTTGCAAAAATAAAAAAAATCGGTACATTACTACAGGTACGTACAACTCCCTGTATGCGATACAGAACCAAAACTAGATTGCCATGCATTGTGACAGTTGTCAAAAACAGTTAAAACATCCTAATAAATTTAATAGCTAGAAAATCGACATATTATTTGTGGTATTCCTATTGGCTGGGAAAATACGTGAAAATTGCCCGGTTTTCTCTGTACAAAAGCATCACGTTGAAATCAAAAGTGCTCTTGTTTATGATATAATTGCTTTTTCATTTTTTTATTTAATAATTTAATGGGAATCACTGAAATTCAGAGAGCTTAGGCATCTTCCGTCAAATTGCATTTCGATGAGGTCTTTTCTCAATTATTCAAGTGACCGTCAAATGTTAATGTTGGTGTAATGCACTCTAAGACTCGTACATATATATCAGTATATCAAAGACGTGATATTTACGAGATAATATACCAAATCATATTCAACATTAATATACAATGAATATTGGAAGTGTAGTATTCGCCTTAAACTCATCAAAGTAGTGCCTTCAAGAATCTTTAAAACAGTATTGGGAGAATGCTTCACGTAGAGATCTGGGAAAGCAAAGGGAAATGAATCAAATAAAGTTATTTTGTGGAAATTTGGTCGACGTTACTATAACGGAGAGTACTCTTGACCGTCATTTTAATTCCAGAAAAAATACTGACAATATCAACTGATTAGTTGAGATTCCAACATACTATGTCGTTAAAATTGCACTTACAACATATTTTTGACAAGTTTGTTTAAGGTTTGTTCATCAGGATTGCTACAATTATTACATTTTTTGAATGGTGCATTATAAACTGATCTAATTGGACATTGGTTGGGATCTCGTCAATAATCGATCTTACTACGAGTATTTCGTTGACACTTTCTATGAAATAGGTATTCATTCGTTCAGCTATTATTTTTTCATTTGTGATTACCCTATTGATGAACTTCATGTATTTCTTCTAATAGGAGAAATAATGTTTTTCAACGTTTTCCACATCAGTTTGCTATTATTTTTACAGTCATCAGTTTTGTTATTGTAATATTTTTTTACCCACCGCCAAACCTGTTTTCTTTTTGCTTATCAGTGATGATTAATTCTTCGAAACTGAATGAATCAATGAATACTTAATTCCTTTTCCGTGTAATGTCAAGCATTCAATATCACCAACATTTAACTATTTCATGGAAATGATTAGGTCAAAACTTTAGTCTCTATTCTTATACGCATATACAGGGTGACTTTGAAGTTGAGTCATTAATTTTCAGATAATGATTGTAGAAGGAAGATAAACCAAAATATGTGTATAAAAATAAAAAAAATATAAAAAAAATTTTTTACCTTGTTTTATAAAGTATCCTCCCGACAAGTATTTCAGTGCGGACCTGTATTTGATCGTGAGGTCCCCTGTGAGGTCTGAAGTCACCTGATTCACGAGCCCGTTGTACTACATTAACAAAGGCACGAGGGGTTGGTTGCACTCGATTGGGAAACCGATCCGCATAAACATGTGCCATTTTTTATTTCGTTTGAGCCACGCAACAGACACTATTCACACGCGACTGTATGTATGTACGAGTATAACTGAACTGAATAAAATAAACATCGTTCCAAATTCTTTCGCTTTTTTGTTTCCGATGCGATGAACCGATAAGGTGGATTATATCCGTTGTTGCCAAACACGAGTACATGATATTATTGAGACAGGGCGGTACTCAAACTTCCAAAGGGCTATAACTTTGTTACTTTAATTTTACCAGAAAAATGGTAAAGGAAAAAAACATTTCTTTTGATCATATCTACTCACTGTTAAAATAAATGACTCAACTTCGAAGTCACCCTGTATACCAGATGAAATCGAAAATATGGTCAAGAATACCTTCCGCTAACCGTCGTTAATGAGTTTTTTGTCTTCTAAACTTTCAGGTTGCCTGGCCATCATTGTTGTATGTATTAATATTATATTTCAGGACAAGTTAAAGTTATACAAAAAAACTACAAATTGCTTGTTACCATAGTTAAATTACTACTCTGGGCAGACATCATTTATTTTTGGGATAAGGCAAAGCAAAAAACAATCGATATTTTTCTCTTTGTATTCAGAAGTTCATTTCATATAAAAGCAAACTATATTAGTGTCCTTATTTCCACCTTAAACATTCGAAAACAAATAATTATACTCCTCACATTTCATACTATTACACGTAAACTAATACACAATACGTTACTTCATGAAACAAATTACACATTATATCTAACCTAAATAAAAACATATAATTATATTTATAAAACGTGTTGACGTGACGTTGAATGTTATATATCCGAACTGTAGTTTCAGATCCCTAAATACAGTAATGTATGAAACTAATGTGTGAATAATTTTGGTTTCGATGAACTAGCACACCGCACCGCAAATGAATTGTAGTGGAGCGCACGGGTTTTAGTATCGTCGTCCGGATGCGGGCCGAGCCCCTGGAGCGCCACCAACACCACCAGCGAAGCTACAAGACAAACCAACTTCAGAAGTGGGATATGCGATCAAATTTTAACAACTCAGTAATATTTACTGCATTGTATTCGCTTTCACAGGCGTACAAATCAGCGTATTTTACAGTATCTATCAATTATAAATAATTCAATGATCTCATGAATATAACCACATAAATAAATGAAAAACGGAATACTCGAGCTCTAATATGTAGCATCCGACAGAAGGTCTTTTTTTGCCGAAACCGACGTTCGCCTTCAAACATAACTTTCGACCGAAACAATGAAAAATTAAGTAGAGTAAATCACAAAACCGCTCAAGCACTAACACTGAAAATTCTTATCACTGTGCAAGGTCAGCGTGCTTTAATTCTTGGACGATTTGAATCTTATATGGATGAAGTTTCATGTCACGCTTCAGCATTCGTCTCGAACTCGTACGAGCAATACTCATGGTCGCTGAACGTCTACGAGTTGAGAGCTCTGGATCGATTGGAACAGATTCACTCACTTCCTCTATTCTTTGATCCGTTCGTACAGTCCGCGGACGACCTTGACGTCTCGTAGGTAATGTCGAACCGGTTTCTTAAAACCCCTTCAACCATTGCATCATTAAATTAGTGCTAGGGCACTGACGAATAGCCGAAATCCATATTTGACTCGAAATAAACGTGTCATTGCGACGTAAGAACGATTATTCTCAAAGAACGCTTGCACTATGAAGGCGCGCTGTTGCCCCGTGAATTGACTGATGGCTACTGAAAATGCATGAATCACGCAATCGAACGGTACCGCCCTCCAGCGTTTCCGCCCGCGTTTTGTAGTTTTATTAAAAAAACAAATTTTATTATGGAATATTTGTAAATAAAATAAAGTTCAACGACAACATTGCGTAGTAAATTGCATTCTCTATTGTCGCATGTTTGTCCAGTGGGTACTAACTGGTAAGTGTAGCTGTCACATATTTTAGAGCACCAAATCGATTTCCGCAAAAAACGATGAGCCTTAAGAAATCCGTTTCAATAAATTAATGATTATGTACATTTTCGTTTGCAAAGCATGTCCCATTTCCGCAAAATTTGTATAAGCCTATGCCGAATCCTCGCTTGGACCCTACTAATTTTTCATTCATGTATGTGGTTTTATTCATCAAATGAAAGCTTGGTTTATAGAAAATAAAGTAAGAGTCGAAAGCTTTTTCTGTAGATGAACTGAATCGTATAAATATTTCCAGTTTTCTGACAGTATCAGGTAAGATGATGAAGGCGTTCACGTTAGTGGCTAGATTGACATTCAATTGAAATTAAACAATGAACCTTTCAGACATCGTTTCCGACATCATTTTCTAAACCAACTTCGCTGAAATTTCACTTGAACTCTTGATATTTGGAATAAAAAAATACCTGTCAATGTTGGAACGGTCCATATCTCCTTTGCATCACGCCTTGTCTGGTCAGTTCATACGATATCTGAATTATAGATAGACGCTAGCCAATAATTATATTCCTTATACCAGTCTTAAGCGTCTTAGCGACGAGAAAATTCAATTTTAATGAATCAAATTTACCGAGTTAGCACATTTGAGGCTTTTGCGCATATTAAAACGTCAATGTCATGTTTCATCCGTAATGTTATTATAAAAATGGCGCCTTCATTTTCAATACTTGTAATCTACGACAATATATCGTAGATGTAATTTTTATAGACAGTTACGAAGTTTGCAATGTCGCATTATTATTATTGAGGAAATATGACGGATGACAAACGCATTTTTCGACTTCTTGATATCAATGCGTGCGTTCAGCCAACGTAGAGCGCTTTGAATAGCAGTAGCCTTGGGATAGCTTTGTCAGTTTGACAGTTTTCACGGCAACTGCTATTCAGCATCAAAGTGCGGCACTGCTGGAACGCATTGGCTGAATGCGACCAATAACATGTATGATTAAAAAAACAATCGCAATAATTCTAGAGCAAAAATAAAAAGTTCATATGAACACAGGTCTTGACATTTAGCCTTTGCGAGTTCCTCCACCATTAAAAACGTGATTGTTGGCTTTGTAAGGGGTCTTATATAGGGTGCCGCAATGAAAAGCTCGCAGCCCCAATTGTGACTCTCCTAGTATATTTTGGGAAAAATGCTCCGACAGGTCAATTTTGATTTCTAGGGGGACGTCTTTTCATCTATAGCCGTGCCAATACAGGGTGTTAAAAAAAGATATTGCGTTATACTTTTGATTTTTGAATGGAAACCCAGTTTTTCAATTTTTAGACACTCCATGAAGTTTTTATTAACTGTTGTATAATAAAATTTATGCCTATCTTCAATCCCTCTGAAGCTATGAGTTTATAATAAAATTCGACTAACTTATAATAATGGAATGCACGGCAACAAATAATAATCATGGGTACCAACAGAAACATTTAGCATCAGTTAGTCTCATCATATGCCATAGAAAAACTGTCTTTCATTTCAAATTGTCAAGTTACCTATAGTTGTAATAAGTATTGAACTATGACTTATTCAATTCAAGAAAGGGTAAAAACAAGAAAACTGTATTATCAAAATGGGAGCATTGCAAGAGCTACTGCTCGGTTGTTTAATGCGTTACATTCAGACAAAAATATTAACGATAAGTATGTGGCTAAGTTAATAAGAAAATTTGAAGAAACTGGATATGTGTTTAATATTCGCCTTAATCGCCATCGAGAAAATCGACTAGTTAGCACTCGTGGACTGGCTATTTCTTAAAACTTGAGCTTAATGAAGACGATTTTGATAGAAGGTTGGAGTTTTGCGAATTAATGTCCCAACGTTTAATCAACAATGGAAATCTGTTATTTAATATTTGTTTTTCGGATGAGTGTTACGTTCTATTTACATGGTGCTGTAAATAGGCGTAATTGTCGATATAAGAGTGACTCGAGTTCACGCAGAAGCTCCCGTACGACTTTGTAAGCGATTTTCGCGCCTTCCATGCCGACGGGGCATCTAAAACGCCGCTACAGGTTTTCTAATTTGTTTTGAGAGGTATACCCGGAATATCCTGAAAAAATAAATGCGTGGGCCGGCATTTTCGGAAATCATATTGTAGGATCTTTCTTTATTCCTGAAAACTTGACGGGCGATACGTACTTGGACCTATTAGAAAATACATTAAAAGACGAATTTCACCTGTACAAGATAAAAGAATTAATGTCCCAACGTTTAATCAACAATGCAAATGCAATGCATTTGTATCGAGAGGTACACTGGATATATCCCGAAAAACTAAATGTGTGGGCCGGCATTTTCGGAAATCATATTGTAGGATCTTTATTCCTGAAAACATGACTTGGACCTGTTAGGAAATACAATAGAGCGACGAATTATCGAAATAATAGAAAGTGACGTTAATTATAATGAAAATTACATTCATGGCCGCCGGGATATCCGGACCTATGTCCTTTGGATTACATTCCTTTGGGACATTTGAAAAGTAGAAATTTTAGTTCGAAGACAGATTCCAATTCATTATTGCATGGAGGTAAATGGACACTTCTTTTGGCACTTATTACCACATTGACCTACCTCCTTATTGCAAATTAATTTTGACTTTAATTTTAATGTGCGTGTAAACTATTTTTTTTTAATACTACTTGTTTTCAATTTTGAAGTAAAGTTTTGTTACTATGGGAACTATATTGTTTATAATTTTTAAGATATAATCCCTTATCAAAATAGAATTTTACTATAAGTTAAATAGCTTCATAACAATTGAAAATAGGTATAAAATTTATTAAACAAAGGTTACAAAAAACTTCATGATAAATTTATATTACAATAATGGGGGTTTTCATTTAAATATCTAATCTGTAACGCAATATCTGTATTGTACGGCTATAGCTAAAAAGGCGTCCCCCTAGAAATCAAAATTGACGTGTCTGAGCGTTTTTCCCAAAATATACCGAGAGCGTCACAAATAGGGGTGCGACCTTTTCGTTGTACCACCATGTATGTCGCTGATGTAATAATTAAAGGCGCAAAATGTCTATAATTTTTGTCGCTCATAAGTTAGTTCTGCACGTACAAAATTTTAAGTCGATACCTTTATCCACTGTGGAGGAGATGTAATTTTTCACGTATTTAACATCATAACTTTAAGTTCCGGTCTCTTGATGATAGGACAATGTAGGACTTGTTGATCTATTTTTGGATATACTTTCTGCCCTAGAAATATTGACATTGTTTTTTGAATTACCCTGAATATTCATAAGGAGTTAGAGCAATCCCATTACAGCACACGATGGTAAACTTTAATTTTATTTGACATTCAAGTCATAAGTCACAGGCATGTGTGTCAAATAAGGGTTAATGTACGAGTGCGGCCCGATAAGTACTTAGTCTCACCGTCCGATGGCACTATCGTGTAGTACGCTCTCGTAGACGGCTACTGTCAAAATTTCAGCCAAATCGGCCTGATAGTTTTGTTTTGACCGAGGGTAAAAGCGGGCGTGTCAGAAAAATGGAAAAAGAGCCATTTCGGTCGGTGATTCGATTTTTGCTTTTGGAAGGCAAATCGCGAAGCGAAATCAAAGAGTGCTTGGATGCTGTGTACGTTGATTCTTCTCCTTCGATGGCGACCGTCAAAAATTGGTTCGACGAGTTTCAATGTGGTCACAGGACGGTTTTTGATGAGCCACACCTAGTTGCCCCGGCCACTTCGGAGGATAACGTGACAAAAATTTGCTCACTCCGGACAAGCGCAACGGCGAGACCGCTTTAGAGCAGTGTTTGTCGGTGTTTAAGCACGATCCGAAGGAGTTTCTGCGTCGTTTCATAACTGTCGACGAAACATGGATCCACTGGTACATACCAGGGATCAAGGTACAGTCAAAACAGTGGACTTCACCCGGCGAATGCGCTCCGAAGAAGGAAAGACTGTCCTATGGGCCGGAAAGGTGGTGGCCACCGTTTTCTGGGATTCACAAGGTGTGATCTACATCGAGTATCTGAAGAAAGGCAAAACGGTCACAAGGCTTCACTATGCCGAATTATTGCTAAGCTAAAAGGAGACTATGTTGAGAAATAAATAGCTACTTTTCGTCTTTCTTTTGTAGGCTAAGTACTTATCGGATAGCCCTCGTTTGTGCTAAAGCGACTAATCGTAAGTTTACCGACCTCTAACTTCAAATATCTATTCGTGCGTATCAGTAATCTGTTCTCAGTTAATTGTTGATAAGATGTAAGTCAATATAATACAGCTAGGAGAATGGAATGTAATTTATTAGGAAAAGCAGGTGAAATCATTACTATCCTCGACTATCTGCCATTGAAATACAAAATACTTGGTCAGAGACAGGAAAGCAGGTTGAAGATAATGATTCATTTGCTTATATTTCTGAAAAATTTGATACAAGATGTCAATATTTTGGGACTTGATACAGGAAAGGGCGTCCACAATTATTAGCTTCTCTAGTTTCATGGACACAATTAATTTTCCAGATTTTTAAATCCGAGAAGGCGTAACATTAATGAAGACATGTGTTTGATAAAGGCAGATCGAAACTTCTATTTAGAGTCTGGTTTCGGGTGAAAAATAACGAATCAGAATAAAAAAAAAAAAAAAACGGAGCAGTTATAACATGGTTTGTACATAATTTTACAAAAATAGTAAAACAAAGTAAAGCAGTTCTTTCAAAATTAATTAAAAATCATTATCATCTACATATTCTTCAAGTCACACTACAACTAATCATGCTCATACCACAGCTTGGATAACAATCACCTATGAAACTCTCGTGTCAGTGTCATTTCGGCGGAGAAAATCGCATGTGAATTCCCCTAGCTTACGGCCCCAAATATTCTTTGCAATCGTAAAATGATATTTCGATATGATCTACAAGGTCTGTCGTAAAGTAAACAGGACAAAGAAAAAATGTACAAACATTTTTTGTTTCGGAAAATCGAATTTCTTGTATTCAAAATAGTCTCCTACAGATTTAATACAGCGATTTGCACGGATCAAAACATTTTTGAACGATGATTTTAGCTTATTGACCGAGATGTCCTTCAAAATGGTCCGCGACGCCGTTTGGATAGCCTCTACGGTCCCTTCGTGGCCAAATGTAGTTTACCGAACAGAAAATAGTCACACGGTGCCATATCAGGTGAATATGGGTAGTGGTTGATGGTTAAAATGCCATTTTTTGTCAAAAAATCGGACACAAGCGTCGATCGTTTAGATGGTGCATTATCGTAAAACAAGCGCCAGCATCCGTCTTAGCAATATTCTGACCGAACACGACGAATAGGCGACAGCACATGTCTCGACAACATCAAAATAAAACACAGCATTAACCGTGTGGCCAGGTGGAACAAATTCTTTGTGAATAATTACCTTCGAATATTAGAAACAAATCAATATTGTCTTCCCTTTGGACTTTTCTAAAGGACTTTTTTTCGGATTTGGCTCGCTTGGGTGCACTTTGA